CTTCGACTGAACGGACTGAGCATTAACTTCAATTTCTTGTGACTGTGATTCTAGCGCGTATTACACATACGCACGCTAAAACAATGGTTTTCATATGCGGCAGCACGCCTTTGTCTACTTTGTACTTCCTACACGCGCGCTGTCCGTGCGTGCGTACGCGTACAGTTTTTTGTATGGCGTCGCTCAATCATACCGCTCATTCGTGCCCTCACGGGTGGAGGGCACGAGATTTTTAATCTTACAAACTTTGTCTCAAGTTGAAGCGGCCTGCTGTAGCCAGCAAAAGCAGCAACAGAGAAAAAGGTTACGGTGGAGTTTTCTTACCTCTGTACGAGTGTGGTAAGTTAATTACGCACAGCGATGAGCGAAGATCGATTGACCAGCAGTCGTGTGAGACAAAGTTTCTAAGATCAAAAATCTCGTGCCCCTCCACCCGTTTGGTGATAATTGACCACGTTCCCAGTCTCGGCCGAGCGGTGACGACTGCAAACTGATCAACTTAACGTCGTCAAGCATCAATTTCCGCTATTTTGGCCGTCATATTGCAAGTTTTTGGCCAGCTAACACGGTTAGAACTGAATGCGTGATTCATTGGATTGCAGAGAGAGAAACTACAGGCCTTACTTTGTGAGTTCAGCAAGAAATATTGTGAGTAAATGCTCTTTTTGTGTGCAAATTTGACTCGCTTCCGAAGAGTGTTTTGTCGTCAAACTGGCCGAAGTTTTCTACTTTGTCTCTTATTATAACACCGTAGGATAAATAAATCAAAATTCTCTCAAATTTCGTTTAAACTCTCCAGGATAAGAAAAAATGACACCATTGAATGTTCAAGAGTCTTTATTCGGTAAATTACCCATACATTGAACGAATTTAATGTTAACTCCTGATCTCCATACAAACTCTTATATTTCAGCCACAGTTCACCATACAAACTCTTATATTACGCTTGGGCTACCTGTGATTCCACCTAATGAAGAAGGGCTAAGCCCGAACCGTTTAGATTACCAGCGAATGTTTGACACTTTTAAGACCCTTTTGAACCTTGTATGTTAGAAAAGGTAACGATGCAAAGAACCCAGCAATTCTCAGCTTTTTCTTTGTTACCAGAAGAACCCAGCGTTAAATGCAGTCCATGCGTAGTAAGTTGAAAAAGTGCGATTGAATGCGAAATAGCATTCTCGGAAGTACGCCCATTTCTCGAGAACCACTCATTAGAATTTCACGAAATTTGGCACGAAAATACTTTAGGAAAGAAGTAACTGGAGTATTGAAAAAAGTTGCAACTTTAGCAAAGGAAATTCTAGATATTCCAATGAACATTCAACAAGGGATAATTAAAGATCTCTCTGTTAAATTATTATTAAAATAGTGTTAACTTGTGAACGTGGTTACAAGCTTATTCATGTTGCCATGGTAACGGCACATTGGTCAGCTTAACTATCAGAAAACTGAAGTTTGTGTAGTTTTGGCGACCAAAGAGAGGATCAAGGGTTTTAGAGAAAAAGTTGAATGAAACACAGGTATCAAAACCTGTGTTCAGCCACCTTAACTCGCATCAATTTTGCTATACGCATTTCTACTAGGGTCGTGCGCGTTTTCTGGCTCTAGTACGGCTCTCATACGGGACCTTCTTTCTTATTGTTTTCCAAGGAAATTGCGCGCGGGGCCTTACGGGTCATATGTTTAACATGCTTGTTTTATCCCAAGAGAGCACGGCAACGAATGCTACAATCCGATTGGTTCTTAGCTCGGTCCGGATTTTCCCATCTCTGACCACGGTCATGGTAACTACGGGAAACGGCGCGGTGAAATTGTCGTGTTGGTCAATTTTCCTGAGTGAACCGGCGGTAATCGTCAACCTTTGCCCTTTTTACACTTCCATCGATGATTAATCAACGCGAGTTTATCTCTATTCACTTTTAAGTGGCAAGGAGAGTCACTAAATTCAATTGAATGTTTTGAAGGTGTAAGAGTTTGGTTGGTTGTTTGTAGCTCGGCGTTGTAATGGCGCGTAATCCTGCATTTCTCTCGCCTTACAATTCTAAGCAAAAAAAAAGGCAGTTGCAGTCGAGTTTACCTCTTTGATCGTTGCTGTATTTAAGAGAATTGTTGTGGAATACACGTGACAAATTTCCTCGCTTTCTGCTTCTCAATTTACGGTAGAAAAGTCTGATTTCGGTTAATTCGCAACGACTGATAGAAATTGTTTTTGTAGTACAACTTCAAACTTTGCACGAAATTTCACACCGTAAAATCAATTTTGGAGAACTGGTGAACTAGATGCAACTAACATAAAAAAGTTTGAAATAAATCTGTTCTTTAATACATCTTTCTTTATCTAGTATCTGAGTTACTCGCCCGTTCGTTCGTTAGATTTTTTACGATGGTTTGTAGACGGCACGTAAGCCAAGTTGCGTAAACAAACCTACTTGTAAGCCAATTTACCCCAGGAAAAAATAAATATGCTATTTGCCGGCTTAGGGTCGGTCCGTTAAGTGAAAAACTGTGACCTCGGGCTTGAAAATGCTGCCCTCGGCCTCGGGCAACATTTTCAAGACCTCGGTCAGAATTTTTCACTATACGGACCTCCCAGCCGGCAAATAACATATTTATTTTCACAAGTGAGAAGATCACCATTGCTATGGTTACATAATCCCTTAAAAAGTACTTAGATGTGTTGCTGTATGGTCGAAACATCATGTGTTCATCCTCGGAAATCTTCGGTTATCTTCGGAAGTCTTTGGAAATTTTCGGAAAATGTTCGGAAACGTTTGTCGGGCCTTCGGGCGACTTTTGGAGAATCTCCGGAAATCTTCGGAAAGCGTTCGGAAATCTTTGGAAAATCGCCCAAAAAAGTCGTCATTAGTATGTTTATATAATAAACAAAATAATACATGGCTGCTTGTAGATATGGAATTTCTCTTCTCGTGGTCAACTTTATATCTAACTCGTGAAGTATCAAGTTGAACACTCGAAGAGAAATTCCATATCTACGCGCACCCATGTATTATCCTCTATGTTGTCTGTATAAAGCGTAGACGAAGTGTTATTTTCATTTTGATTTTGGAAAGTGTGAAACAATTTGTTTCTGTGGTGTTTAGAGTTTTAACCGGTAATCTTTCTCATTTAAGGTATCATGGTATTGAGGTGGTCCGATAGTGTTTGGAAATCGTGCTTTTACGCGAGCGCTCCCACCAATCTATACATTTCCTAAAAGCTAAATTACCGTTTTCTGATTGGCTACGCTACTCACTATTTATTCTGTGATAGATAGTAGCGTAGCAGAGTGCCCTTGGTAACAAAATGACGGCCACTTTTTTGCGTTTTCGAGCTGTCTGTGAAGAGGATTTCGATAAAGTTTTGAATGACTAGTAGATTTATACTAAAACAATTAGATTATTTGCTCTCGATTTCTATGCGTGATAGTTGACGAGGGCGCAGCCCGAGTCAACTATCACGCGATAGAAATCTCGAGGTCATAATCTAATTGTTTATTAGTGTAAATCTGCTAGCGTTCTATCAGGAACACTGCTCTCTGATTGGCTACGCTACTCACTATCTATTCTTTGATAGATAGTGAGTAGCGTAGCAGTGTGCGCTTGTTAACAAAATGACGGCCGTTTCTTCACATTTTTGAAGTGTCTGTGAAGAAAAACTAGATAGAGTTTTGCAAGACTAGTAGATTTATACTAAAACAATTAAATTATTCGCTCTCGATTTCTATGCGTGATAGTTGACGAGGGCGACAGAAATTTCGAGCTCTTAATCTAATTGTTAGTTTAAAAGAATACAATCATCGACAATGATATGTTTGAAATTTTCAAAAAAGTTCATGTCACAGTGAGATTGAAAGAAATAACCAGGAACACTGTTTTGCTTGAACTGGTTCGCTTTCTCGCATGAATTATTTGAGCGGCGTGATTAACTGATCGCAAATGTTTACTCACACATTACCCTAAAACCCAGATGTGATTTGGGTTTTTTTGTACACCCTCCGAAAGGTTGTTGTTTTCAATGCGGTTGTTTCGTCCGACACCGTTTTTCGAAGAAGGTATCCTAGAACATAGCTGCCGATTTTCAGCTAATTCCGTCGGAAGACGCGCGTAAACGAACCAAAATTGCTCATACTTATATGCAGTTTTATTTTATCGAAAAAAGACGAAAAACCTTATTACGAGATAGGTATGAGTAGGTGTTAAAAATCCCGTCATGTTGCAAGATTTGATGACGCATTTACAGACTATGGGTCAGGCTACAACAGCAATGGCTTATGACAACTTGAAAAACACGTCTACAATAGCTTGTTCTTCGTTCTTCGTCGTCTTCGTCGGGACCGGTTTCGTTAAACTCCTTTAACCATTCTTCTTGGTTAAAATGCGACCCACGGTCGCTCAATGCCAACGTTCTTGTGCGTTCGACGCTGAACGGGTTGATCTCCACAAATTTTCGTCTTTTCAGGTTCAAGGAAGAAGAAAATGGGCGTTTTTGTTCTGACATTACAAAAAAAAAAAAAAACAGCAACGAAAGTTAACTTGCGTTGAAACGGAGTTGAACCAGACCGAGAACAGTTTGCGTGCACGTCTACTTTGTTCAAATGAAATATCACACCGCAATAGGCCATTTGCGAATTACCTCCAGCCTCTTTCTCAAAGCGAGTCTTGGTGCCCATTCTTTCATACGAAAATGAGATTTCATTCACATGCAAATTAAACTCATTTTCATATGAATGGTTGTGCACCAGGCCTCGCTTTGATAGAGAGGCTTAAGGCAACTCGGATGTTGGCTATTCGCATTACACTTGACAACTGGTGATGAATCTTTAAAATAGGTGGTGTCAAAAACTTGTGAACGCGCAGTAAGGGGTAATGGAATTCAAAAATTATTTTTTCTCTTTATCTTGAAACGTAAAAAGCTTTTTTCCCATTCTTTTGCTAAAAAACAACATCATCTCAGTTTTCTCAGTTCGAGCGGCAAAGAACAGTTTTCGTTAAATTCACCTACCATGATACCTTAAATTAAAAACAGAGGATTTTATAAAGGTGGCTTAGGAAGATGACGTTTATTTGAATACATAGATTATTTTTTGCACCACGAAACTTAATATGTTTTGCTGTAGAGGATCGCTCTTAAAGACTTGTTATTTTGTTGACTTTGGCTTTTCACTCCAATATTCACTCGATGGCCATAACCTGGATCGAAGGCTTCGTTTTCCACATCCGTCGAGGCATGTTCCGTAGAGGTCTGTGCAGTCCCCACATTTAGAAAAATCAGTGCACTGAGAATTACATTGTTGATAATTCGTGAAACACTCGTCATCACATACACTTTGTGTTGAAGATATGTGAAGAGTTGCCGCTAAACAAATGATGACCAGTAGAGAGAACGCATTCTTCATCTGAAATGAAGAACATATCCTCATTAACAAGGGCAAAAAATCCTTTGCTGCTAATGGCCTCTCTCTTCCCTCTAATCAATTTTGGTTTAGTTTTGTTTTTAAAATTTCCAATAGGCCACCGTTAATCCGGTCACCAACGGACCACAAAATTCTGGTCGTATTAACGGGGTGGCAGTATTACAGGGGCTATTTAAATAAGAAAATGACTGACTGAGCTTTTTTTCAGGCCAGAATAAATTGGCCGTAATAAAATTAACGGGGTGGTCGTAAGGCGGTGTTCCACTGTATCAACATGTTAACATGTCTCCGAGGCTTTGAGGACAGACTTCTATATTTGGTGTTGTTTTCTTTGTATTCAAGTCTCTTTTGGGAATTGAGAAACAAAAGAAACTTGAAACCCGAAAGCCTCGGAGCTATGTTAGAATATTGTTACATCGAACGTAGCCTATTGACGTTGAAGGTCTGAGTAGTTCCCTCGACTCCGGTTCAAGCGGTCTTGGCCGAGGTAATTTTAAGTGGTATTAACACGTGTAACACTCGTACCAATGCGAGTTCATACCAGTATGACCACTACACGTGATGTTTACAAGAACGAACCTACGTCCAACGTGGGATGAAGTGACGCCATCTTGGCCTGGATGACGAAAACTGTACGTACGCTGCCCGTTCTAGTCTAACATAAAACTGGTTTCATACCGAAAACTGGTTTCATAGCTGTATGAAAGTTATACCGGTATCTTGTAAACAGCTCCTAACTTTGTCCACCCAGGACTTATGTTGTACAAAAGGTGGATAACGAGATCCAACGGATAACACGCTATGAACATCCGTGGTATCTATTGAAGAGTGATTTATCCGTTCGATAGCGTGGAACAGCTGGGGCAAGGTTTTTATATGAGAATAAACGAATTAGATGCTAGGGTAAACAATTAACCCTGCGTTAGACCAGCATCCGGCCCTTTAAGGGGCGTAGAATAACCCTCGTGTAATCGGAATCGCGAATACTTCCGTTTTCCGAGCAGCATTTTGAGCCGAATAGGCGATGCTGGAAGTTAAATAGGAAATTTACGCCGGAGCAGAATCATTAAGCCAAACCTAACCAAAAGAGACCGAAAGCAAAACGATGTTACGTTTCATATCATATAAATAAATTTTTGTTATATTAAAAATAAAGCAAAACGATAACTGTAGTCATGCTGGAAAAACTTAAGGCTGGTTTTCGTTAGCGACGGAGTCGTAGTCGGAATCGTAGTCGGAATCGTAGTCGGAGTCGGAGTCGTAAGAGAGCTTACGACCTAGTGAAAATCGAAAATCGGAGTCATAAGCAGAGTCATAAGCTTGACGGAATCGGAGTCGGAAGAATCAGAACGTTTCCATTTCTTCCGTTTCCGTTTACGACTCCGTCGCTTATGATCCAGTGAAAACTAGATTGTCGGAGTCGGAAGCATAAGCAGAAGAACCAACCAATCATAAGGCCCTGAATCGACCATTGTGATTGGTTTATTCTTCCGCTTCTGCTTGCGACTCCGACAATGCAATTTTCACTAGAGCGTAAGCGACGGAGTAATAAGGGGAACCTGTGTTCCGCTTCTGACTCCGTCGATTTGATTTTCACTAGATCGTATCGCTCTATGCTTCTGATTACGACTCCGACTACGACTCCGTCGCTAGTGAAAACCAGCCTTTAAAGAGCAAATTACAAACGTGTAACGAGCCGTTGAAGCTGAACCTAAAACGAGATGCTGCGGACAATCGTGAATTTCACAAAATTCACTTCTCAATTTGTCAGTTGTACTTGATTTCACTAGTGCTAGTTTACTGGACACGATACGCTTCAACTAGAATACTTTCGCGCGTAAATAATGAGAACAAGCCTGGTGAATCTGCTTACTGGATCGCTGGTAGAGTTATAATATATGAACGCAAGGATTTCTTGGCTTTCGAAGAGGCCGTATTTGTCAATTTGAAGCGTTTGGAGTCGTCGGCGTTTGAAATCAAGCAGAGACTTAAATTGTTCCGGACATTTTTGGCAACTTACTTTACATTGCCATGCGCTTATTTTCTGATAGGGAGTTTACGCAACCACGAGGGCGATATTTTAGGTTGTGTCTATTGGCGTTAGAACTATCCTCAGCTTAACGTCATATCATTCTGTTTATTAAAGGTTTTCTTGCGGGAACGGGGTGGGGGGGGGGATAACGTTGTCCTGGTCATCGCGGTTTGCGTAAACAGCCTTACATCTGCCGTTATGAGTTAGTTATGGCTAGGAAACGACTCTAAAGGGTTGGAAGTGGTACCGCCTTATGCGGCTACTGATGTACGAATCTTTCTGTAAGAATATTGAAGCTGAAAATACCCAAAATTAAGAATAACGCTGAGAAAATATCCTAGGCTGAGGTTAAAAAAAGAGTTTCCTTTTTTTTTTTCAGCCTCGGTGTTAAAAATGTTTAGTTACAATATTTCTTTTTTTGCCTATATTTTATTTATTTACATGTTTGTTTTTTAATTCAGTTTATCGAAGCAGCACAGTTGAGAGATCATTTATGAACATGTCTAATAATTTTTCAGCCTGGGTGTGACAATAATATAAACAGTCCGAAGCCAGAGGGTACGTCCGACTTAGTTTTTTTTTTCCCTTTTCCGTTATTTTATTTATATTATTTACATGGTTGTTTACTCATTTACTTTAGTTTATCTTTAAGTAATATCTTCTGTTAAATATTAGAATACGCGTGTGTACTCCTTTTTCGTTCACAAGCCTCTACATTTTTTTAAATCCATTTTTAATCTATATGTTGTTCTGTGGTAATAAGGAAACTTTTAAAAAACTTGAAGAGTGTTATGAAGATGCAGCTCTCTGCACAAATAACGGAAAGCTGCGAAGTGATGTATTGGGGCATTTTCGAAGTATCCGTGATAAAGTACAAAACTCTATTTCTTTTGATTTGCTGATATCGTAACTGAGAGTTAAACAGCTTTAGGCTGTCACTGATTCCTGTAAGTAAGCAAGCCACGGCAGTCAATGGTAGAAAAAAAGCATATATATATGAAAGTGTTCGGCTACTATAAGCTGCAATATAATGCTTTTGACCTGCGTAACCCGGCCGCATTGCTGATCAGTTCGGAAAACGCACCCATCTTTCGTTGCTCACTATGCATTTAAAGGGACGATAAATTAAATGTAATTCGTTAAATGAATAAACAGTTTGAGGTAAACAGGATGATCTTCAGTTGAACAGAAAAACATTCTAATTTTAATAAAAGATATCACCTGCGAAGGTAATGAAAGACTCATTCAATAACAACTTCGGATCAAACAGCATGATTTTCTAATTTACGTAAACAAATTGTGAGAGTTCCCTTTTACATAACGCTTTATCGAGTTTCATTTGCTATAAATGTGGTAAAAAGGCGGAGGGATGATGCTAGAGCAAAGCTAACTGTGAAAATGGAACGACACGAGTAACTAAACAGGCCGATGTGATCGACCTGTTTAGTTTTTTTTATCACCAAATCAAAAGTAAAAGAGTTTTGTATTTAATCACGAATACTTCGAAAATGCCCAATAGATCTTGGAAATCTTTCAATCATCATTCAATAAATGGGTCCCAAATGAATGAAACCTACGATACAGGCACTGTTGAGGGGAGGGAAAGAGTTCGGCTCTGTTGAGTGCAGCTTCTGTCGGGCATAATCAACAGTAAGCCTGTAGTTTGGCCTGTTTTTTTATCGACGTTTCCCCACGTCCGCGGACTTCGACAGACCAAAGGCTCAACTTTGTGAATTTTCTGCTCGCGTGTTCCAGACCGTTGATTTGAATTAATTTGAATCTTATGTTTTATTACTATTGAAAAAATCTGTCGATTTCCTTTGTGGTTAAACAAAATGTGAGTCAACTGCGGTTTTCCATGTAGAATTGCAGCTTTCCAAAACAAACTAATAAACTATAACTAATACCAATTTCTGAGAAGTAAGGTTGAAACCATTTTCATGTTCACAAAGTAAAGCATTTAAATTGCGATCAAACATAAACGCGGTGGAAGAACTTAGAGCGTGCAAAACGGTTAATGAAGCCTCCGGCACAAGCTTCGTTGTCATAACCTTTTAATGATAACATAAATTTAGAGATCAAGGCAGATATTTCTTGCTTCACTCTATGTACTTGTTAACAAAACGGCCGACGCCCTCTTAAAGTAAATATCATGGAGTCTTAAAACGCGAATGACCAAAAAGAAAATTCGAGTAATGATTTGTGAATGCAGACACTTCACAAAACTAAGAGGATTTATGTAATAAATCTCTTGGATAAATGCTGTATTGTATTTATTATATAGAAAACAAAGTCGACCTTGACAAACGAAGTGATAAAGAAAAAGAAAAGCCTAAACAATGAAGACACTTTACATCTTCCCGGAGGCGAAAAGATACGTTGGGCTAAGAGTACAGAACATAAAACCTGGTTACTTGAGCTTTTCATTGTAATCTAAACAATTGTGGAACTAATACCCATGTTTTTTCAAATGGGCGAAAAGTGGTGGTGTGAAAATGCTTGAGCTAATTTGAAGGGAGACTTGTGATTTTCGGCATCGCTTTAGAGTAGAAAAATGAGAAAAAACACGGAATAAATGAACCTTCTGCCGGCTTTTGAAAATAGTAAATTGCAAGGAAAAGTGTAAGTTCTGTCATTTGCATAAACTTGATTGCGTAATCAATAAAAACGCAATAGCCGGAGGCTCTGGTAAAACCAGAGACTTCACGTCAACATTTCAAAACAAGAATGGAACACTTCGCGAAAGAGCCAAAGAAGATGTAATTTGTGATTAGGAAGATTTAAAAAACACGATCAAACAGATCTTTGCTTAAACTGAGGCCTAACTAATCTGCAACCGGATTAAAAAGGCGTGTTAAATTATGTTTGTTTCAGCTTTTAGGGAAAGGTGGTAGGTATATATGCTTTGGGAATTATCCATAGACAAGTCATATTTTTGACTGACGGTCAAGTAAACATCCTTATTTTTGAGATTTTTGCTCTACCTTTACTTACCTTAAAAGATTTGTAATATTGCTGGAGTTCTAGCGCCTGTTAGAAGGAAAAACACGAAACTGTCAGTGCAATACAAAGCGATAAATAATCCGTAGAACAGAAACTGAAGGCGAGGTGCTTACAATAGGAGTTGTGCTGTCACGCTTCACTGGTTTTGCGGCGTCTCCAGTCCTGTGTCTGCAAGTTTTATAGAGAATTTTTTATTAAGAGTGGGTTTATAATTGCTCTTTTGAACAAAGGCGCTGAGAAATAATTAATAGGAAAATGACACTCTCCATTCAACAGGCGACTTTTACATACGAAAATGACGGAAATAAAACTGCTTGCGCGCGGATAAGAAACGAACTTAATAGATTTAATAATCACAGAATCCGGTTATCACCACGGAAAATGACATCAGAAGAATGTCGCTTAGAAAGCACACTTCAGCCCAGTCAAATAAACTTTTATGAGAGTTCGCATTTCTTTATTCAAAGATTTGCTATAATTTAATAGAGTTGACACATTTGCGTGATTCATATCTTTTGCGGTAAACGAAATGCTAAATGGTGTGCTGAGCTCTTAGAGATGTCATGCGCGCAGTGGAAGCTCTCGACATAAGTATCGGAAGCGCTGCCGGTCACCTAACGAGCAAGTGGAGTTACAGCGCTTTTTTAAATAGGAAATACAATATATTTCTTTCTTGTCAAGCCGATAAGTTCATACGGCCATGTAAAACTTTCGCTTTAATTTTTTATTGCAGTCTAACTTGTCGAAATAAGTAAATAGTTTAGTAAAGTAGACTTTTAAAGCCCATTAACTAGGTCCCATGTTGTAGTTTAGAGCGCACTTGCTCATGTGAAGTCAAAGTAAATTAACAATTTACTCGCAGCTTGAAAACTATTTATAGCTTACAAGGAAATTTTACAATTCTTTGTACTTGATTCTCGTAACGTTGGTTTAATTAACGCGGGGGAGAAGTTGAAATTGCACTTGGCTTCCTATAGAAATACCGAGCGTGACTAAATTATTGTCTGTTCGCTTTGTGTCTTCTTGTTTGTACAGTGTGAAAATTGTATCCTATAAATATGTTCATCTTTACATGTTCAATGACATAATCTTTCAAAGCATTTCACCATTATGTCGCGATATATTTACATTATATTTATTATTTCGATTGCTCATAAGCCTCAAGGTTGTGAAAGTGTTTGTTTCGAGATGTGAGCAGAATATCAGAATGGAAATGAAAAAGGAAGTTCTGTATTCAATAAAAAAGGAAAGTGGCAAGCTGCGATGCTTTTTTGAAGAGGAAAAGCAAAAACTTCGGCCTTCTTAAGGAATAAAGACCATGTTTCACCTGGTTTCACTCTGTCAAGGAATATTATGTAGGGTTAAGGGCTAACACGTAATCCTATGTTTATAAAAAATAAATGAACAAATTGGTAATGCACTTGACTGGTGTACATTGTAAAAAGGAAAATATGCAAATTTCTTCCCTTCCAGTTCGACTACCTTTGATTATTAAAACACAATGATAAGCGAGGATATGAATAGAAAATACTCTCTGGTTTCCATAAAATACACGCAACAGTTTCAATTTGAAAAGAACTTGCTCTGCCTTAGCTCTTTCTGAACCGTAGCCAGCTGATCAATCTTTGTTGGTTTCTTTCCGTGACGCTACCATATGAAGTATTTTTATTTGATTTCCGGGAGCGTTTTATCGAAAATTTAGTTTCCAGCGTTTTCCAGAGGAAAGTTGTTTACCAAACAATTGTCGCTTAACTGGCTATACCGAGCACGTACCGTGCAAATCTCAACTTGATGACTATATTTCTCGTGTTTAAATATTCAAGTTTAACATCTCAAAACCAAATCAACGGAATGACTGACGAAAAAAAAATTTGAATGATTTTTTTTTTAAGGAAACTTTGGTGAGCGTTTTCCACAAAAGAAAACGATTATCTTGTTTACATCGCAGTCAGCGTCTCTCGAATGAATGGTGAGGATTTTCCTAAAACAGTATAATTTATTTCCTTTTATTTGCAGAGTTCGTATTTTTTTTTTTTATTTTATCTGAGTCGCTATAAAATAACTTGCCGTTTTGCGACATCGACAGCTTTAATTACGCCAGTCACACTTTTCGGGTTTCTAATCTGAAGTATTACAAAAAATAATTTCGATTCCCTTTTGCGAGATAAAAAAGATCCATGACCAAAGAAAATTATCAGTATAATTTTCAATTTTGTGTGTTGTTTATGGAACTGTACTCTCACCAGACAAAAATTTAACTTAATCACACTGTTATCTAGAAAGGTATCTAAGAAGTACAATTTCAGAAACTAAATGTTAAATTAAAATTTATTTTATTTATGTTATCTATAGTAGCAAAGTAAAAATTAAGATAAGTGCTTTAAACGTGTTATCTCTCTCGCTTTGATCTAACATGCTTTCGCAGTCTCGCACGCTACAACCTTTTCATCTCGCCTTAAACATTTTTTTTGTATCTTAAAGCTCACATTTCTCATCGCGCGGCCGGGTGTTGATCCACTGTTGTTTTTCAGCTGAGGAAAAACGCCGATAAGGTAAAGCCTATGAATATTTGAAATTCGTAATGAGAAGCGTGCGGTTCGTGATTTTGTGGGGGACATGGGACGTAATTCGATTTTATCTCGGTGTGATCATGTTATATAATTATCTTTCATGAATCAACAATTCTATTTTATGATCCTTGTTTTATTTCACTTACCTTAAAAATGTTTATTCATCACGGTTACATTCAATACAAGTTGTGTTCTCACTGAATTTTAACAGGAAGTCAAGTTAAGTCAATTAAAAACTTCAACACAAAGAAGACATTTCGGCATTTCTAAAAACATCTCGTGACCAAATTTAGCGTTATTAAGTCGGTCTTAATGTGCTTTATGAGGAAATTAAGACTTGTCTCCTCGCCTTACTGACGCACAGAAAAACACGCACAGAGGGCGGTATAGGATAAAAAAAAGTTGCGCCACCTTCGATTTGAATTACTGCGTCACGTTTTCTTAGAGAAAACAGAAGTTCTTATGCCAGTTAGTTTATTACACACAAATGGTTTTCAATTTCCAACTGCAGTCAATTTCTCCGTTTCAAAACGGACGAAGGGTAGCATCCAACGCTGTTTTTGATACCCTCACATGCTGTTTTTGATCCAGCAAATCCGATTTACTAAAGAAAAGCAGATATCAAATTACTATTTTTTACAACGGTAAATAAATTTAACTAAACTTAAGAAAACAAAGCAGGCCTAATTCGGCCGTTTCTTCGTTATGTTATGTTAATTGCTTGATATTGATAAATTATTGTGGAATAAAAAGCCCACTCTTCAAAACCTTTCTCAGAGAAAGATCAAAAGCTTAAGAAAGAACACTCCACAACCATTTCAGTTCTAGGCAATTTATGGTCAGATAGTTTATATTAATTTGCTTCAAAGGATATCATGTCGGATGGCGAAGTACAAATCAGTTGTGATAAAAATGAAGAGGGCATGGACCTCCCTCCAAACCGTAGAGGTGCATACAAGATTTGAGTTCCTTAGACCTTCTTGGTGCCTCACTGACGGGGTTGTCACACTTTTGAATGGTAAATAACTCCTGACATCTAAGTATCGTTAACAAGCGACAGTGGCTTCACTATGTCGCATGTTTACTTTTCATCTTATTCTCGTATGTTCTTTGTCTAACTCTTGGAAATTTTAAATTGCTTGTAATAAGAACAAGAAACTTCCATATCAAATAAAAAATGACAAGGATTTTTGTAGAGTTAACATGATTTTTCCAATTAAGTATAACTTAATACGCATTTTTCAATTTTCGTTTTTGGTAATAGTTTTGTTTCTGCCATTGGTTTATCCCTTGAATAGACCGGTTTGGGTGTTTTTTTTTGTTTTTTTTTTTAATTGTTAGCGAATGGTAATCATAGATCTAAAAACGCGTCGGTGTTTGTGTTTTTGACATACTGAGACCTAAATTCTCTCCTTTGGTTAAGTTCCACGATATCCACAAGAGCAGACGATATACTAGTGACTAGATCTCTATTATTTTTTTTTTTTCCAAACGTGGTCCGGCAAAAGTTCAGATTTGAGCTCTTAAGACGTTGCCTAAAAGGTCCTAAAATTAGGACCGATTTCAAAAGAAAGCAGATTTCAAAAAGAAAGACAAGAGTGGGGGCGGGGGAAGGGGGGAGGGAGAGTGGGGTGGCATTCTTTTGTTGTTGTTGTTGTTGTTGTTGTGTCAATGTTGTGGTTCTTTTTGACTGAAAACGGCGAAATCGCAAAACAGCTATTTGCGGTCGAATGGAATTAATTTCATTTTCCTGTCAACCTGTCTTTCTAGCCTAAGGCAACACGACATTTATACAAGCATTGAGAAGGAGTATAGATTTGTATTTTAAAATGTAAAATAAATTGATTACCTGTTTGCATGCTCATACAGAACATTATCTGTTCCGAGAAGCGAATAGCGTTCTGAGAGCATAACTCGAGGAAAACTCTGAGTTTCGAGGAACAGATAATGTCCAAGGACAAAAGAGCATATTTTCGTGCCAAATGGAGGCTATTGTGTTTATTATCCTTCAAATATTTTTCGCAAAACGCACAGTTTTGAAATTGGGGAATATCAGTTGGATATTACTCAGTTTTATTATTAGCTGGGGCATATTCAGTCACATGACGAGTTTCGACTAATCGCTCGCGAGCGAAAATATTTGACGGATTACAATAGATATCAATAGCTGTTTGTTAATATCCGGCACGATATGAAAACTGAGCAGAAAACTCAATTGCCACGTGGAGATCCAATGTTTAGTCCTCTGAGACTATCAACGAACTTGACGCCTTATTTTATACTACTGTTGTTACTCTTATTTAACAGCGCACAGGAGATAGCCAAGGCGGCGCGTCGCGCCGAGTCGGCTATAACCATCTCATGTCCAACAAATGCGAGTGGAATGATTGATTTATCAAAAACGCCCCCAAAATAAAGAAAACTAAAATCTAATAAAAATGGCTCGTATACCATGATGGCTTAGCCAATGAAAACTCTTGAATTGCATTATCCAATGATCCAGTTTTTAATAAACGGTAATAGTTTCCTTGCTATCCACTAAAGAGATGTATTTCCAAACACGAACATTCTCCTTTAAAACACATCGCTTGTAAGGGATTGCCCTCACCACTCTGTTTGTTAGTGTGGTCAGAATTCTCCTTTACTCACAGTTTCTAAATGAGCCATACCGCGTTTAGAGAGGAAGTCACTTCAGTCTTAGCTGGTTTTCACGTGGCTCCTCTATCCTGATCGAATTGGAATTTGGAGTATTGGTTTT